ATCAGCCTACACACCCCCAGAGGAATGATGACACCCACAGGCAACTTCAGCTCCTTCCCCTAACTCAACGAGAGCCCCCAAACTCTGAGAGAAGGAGGATGAGGAGGGAGTATCAGGGTTTGGGAGGCAGAAATTAACTTGGAAATTAATCCTTTCATGGTCAAGCCAGCAACAGAGAAGCTTTAGATACAAGAGATGTGGTCTTCCCTGGTGCAAATGAACTTCCAGCTTGGGAAGATTCCCTCAGCAGGTAAGGATCAGATCCACAAAAGCACAGAAGGCAGGAGTCCTTGAGGAGACGGTTTTCAGGGACCTCCCCAAGAGGAGGTGGGGCTCATCTCTGTGTCCCCGAACCCCTCCCTCAGCCTCCCACAGCCGGCTGACCTCTCCAGCTATGGTCTCATTGTTGATGAAGTCAGCAAAGTCCACGGTGGGGGCCCAGGGGTCATTCTGATTGAAGATGCTGCTGCTGCGGGGCTCCGCCTCCTTCCGCTGGGTCACAGCCAGCTGGTACCTAGAGATGCTCTGGTCAGGCCTCCATGGTCACTAAGCCCATCCTGCTGCCTGATCATCATGGAAGGGAGCCGAGCCCATGGACCTCAGCATTCCCATCTCGTTCACACAGTCACTCTGACACCACCCTGGTGGGTGGCCCAAAATCATTCCATGTCCTCCTGTTCATCCCTTGCCATTTCACAATATGCCCCCTCCCAAACAGAAAAGACTTTTCCCACCTGGGCTTTAGCCTTCCAAGGGGACCATGTATCCACTGTGGGCCTTTGGATAACCAGGAAATCCTTTTTGAGCTCTTACCTCACTCACCTCGTGTACAGTCTGGACTGAGTTCCCAGTTGCCCCTCCCAACACTCCCTTCTCACTCTCATCCCCTCCCCCATCCCACACGCATACCGCACCCCATCACCCACCTTGCCCAGCTCAAGGCTCTCTCCATGGAGCTGTTCTGGGGCAGGGGCTCCCCAGCAAAGCTGACTGTCTGGATGCGGTAGCCCCTCGGGTGCCCCCACTTGTTGCTGTGATTGCTAGCCAGGTACAGGTAGCGAGGGGAGGGACCTCCCAGGGGGAAGGCGGCCTGCTCCTCCATCTCCAGCAGCTTCCGGGTCACCTGCAGCCTCTGTATCTGGTGCTTGGGGCTCCAGGGTACCGCCGTAGGGACAAAAGCCATGTCCTCAGCCCAGACCCAGTTCTCCAGTCCTGCAGGGGTGGAGTGTAGGTGGGGGGAAGGGGGGGAGGGAGGGCTGGTCACGCAGCTGCCCCCCGCCGCCCCCGGACTCTGTCCCCACCTGGCTTCAGAGTGGGGTCCAAAGAGAAAGCCAGACTGAGTGTGCCCCCTGCTTCTCTCCCCTCTCCCCAAGATGTCCCAATCTTTCAGCCAAACCTGTTGACCTGTGACATATTTCTTCAAGGATTTCATTCCTTCACCCTTTCACACTCATTAGTGGAGAGGCCTGTGCTCAGCACTGGGGACACACTGATGAATGAAACAACATCCTTACCCTCCTGCTCTCACAGAAGCCCCAGAGAGGCCAAGCCCTGAAGGGACTGTAGTGTGAGAGGAGCCCATTCCAGATTGAAGGTTAGAGGAACACAGGTACAGGCAAGAATAGAGGGCTTCCTGGGCCACTTTTCAGCCTGGCCTTAGGGGATGTCACCAGCAGAGGTGACATGGCAGGGCATTCTAGACAGGGACAAAACGGGAGCAAAAGCAAAGAAGCGTGACTGTCACATGTGGTGCGCATGTCCAGGGACAGGGCGGGTGTGTGTCTTAAGCAACACAGGGAAGAATGTGAAAGGCAGGCAGTAGCTGTCCTCTGAAGGGAAGGGCCTTGTAGGTCCTTCTGTGGACAGGATCCTATAGGTGATGGGGAAAGTGGGAAGTGTGTAAGGGAGCAGGCTGGCATGGGCTGGTAGGCCCCTCTGAGCGCAGGGTGAACCATGGATCTGAGAGGAAGAAGAGTCGAAGCAGCAGAGAGAGGGCTGGTGCCCACAGGGGGCTGGTAGCGGGGCCAAGCGAGGGGTTGGAGATATTTCAGAGGCAGAAAAAAATCTGGTGATGAACTCAGTGTGGGGAACAACAGTGACATGACCAAGACTCCGAGGCATCATGTAACCCTTGGCTCTCTGTGACCACCAACTCCAGGAACTATCTGGAATATTCCACAGTATCCACTCTACCCCTCACACTTAAGTGTATTGTGCCCAGAGATGGAAATTCAGGGAGGAGAAAGGTCCACCTCCCAGGGAAATGTATCCCCCGGGGGTGTTCCACGATTGGCCTGCAGGTGCCAGGGACTCTGCAGAATGCAAACAGATCCTCCCCAATACCTACAACTGCAGGCCAGACACAGATAAGCTGAAAAGCAAATGGCTGCCTCACTGAAGTGGGGCCCATATAAGTGCCAGGGAGGGAAGAGGGCAAAGGGGACCCTTAGCCTGGATCCTGCCTCTTCTCTGAGCTTAGCTGTTTCCCAAGATTTTCTGATGAGGTCATGTGGAGGGTGGGTGGCAGCTCTGTACCCAGCCAATGAGCTAAGATCTCAGTAAAATTCGGCAGCCAACTCTCTCCCATCCAGCAAAAGAGGAAGCATGAAACTCCAAAACATATACTCATGCTCAGATCTTCCTTTCCTGGAAAACCTCCAACAAACACAAAGCAAACAAAGCCAACCCTTCAGCCCCCTATCTGGGATCCTGGCCTCTGCCAGGATGTCTTACCTCCCACGTCCAGATCCACCTTGTAGTGGGCACTGTGGGTGTGGACGGTGCCCAGCGTGTGCTTCCCAACCTGGTTTCCGTATCTTCGGGCAGCTCCAAAGAGGAACGCTGAGCTGATGTAGCCTGTGGCATGGAATTTGACTTCGATGGCCCCATTGGGGTGGAAGACCATATCCCACACATAGTCGTAGTTGAGCAAGGTCGACACAGATCTGAAGACCAGCACTGTCTCCACAAGGCCCCCAAAATAGTGGGAGTGAAAATCTGAGTGGTGTCGCCTCAGGGGCAGGCCCTGGTTCTGCTCAAACACACAAAAGGCATCAGGTAGTGTCTTGGGGGCTTGGGACTCCAAAAGGAAGTGCCAGTCCACGTAGGTGGCCAGATAGGGGCAGTCCACCCCACGGGTCAGGGGTGTGGAGTACTTGCCCATGCCAAAGCTGCCATCCATATAGTGGGTCAGCATTGCCGCTGGGGAATTTCCACCATAGACAGCCAAGGCCTCTTGGAGGCTGATCTCGTAAGCCAGCCGTTCTCCCTGGAATCGGATGTCAAAGATCCTTGGACCACTGAAAGCTCCGAGGCCAAAGGAGAAAGTCCACAGTGAGGAGGCCACTCGACTCCCCTGGACACTGAAGCGGGGGCCCTGGTGATGGAACTGCAGAGGGGGAGCCGGACCTGGAGGCGCCTTGGACTTCAGGGACCAGGACCCACCTGTGCCATTGTCTGGGATCACCACCACATTCACCAGGCCGGCCTCAAACTGCTCCTCCAGGTGGGCCAGACTCTCATAGTAGCGGCCTTGAAAGAACACCTTCTGGATGGTCCAGCGAGCAGGGTCCAGAGCCTTGTGGTCTACCAGAAGCTCCAAACCTATGGGGTGCAGGAAGAACCCAGCCCCTGAGATGTTGTAGTAGAGGCCAAACCAGGTGGCCCTGTCCCCTGATTGCAAGCCACGGGGGACTGTGGTCATGGTCACCAGGTTCCCTCCTTGGTGCTTGTAGAAGCAGCAGTGGTGGAGGAGACCAGCAGCCTGGGGCAGCTCTGTGTTGAAGATCATCTGGTCTATGTCCAGGTACTCTCGCATGAGCACGGGGCGTCGGTGATAGGGCAGGGGGCCCCCGTGACGCTCCACAGTCACGTCTCGCAGGTAGGAGGGGTGCGGCAGCGGCCCCACCAGCAGCTCAGTCACATTGGGCCGGGGTTGTCCGCCAAAGAAGATGATGGCCAGTGCCTCCCGGGCAGGCGGGGGGCTCCCCCTGTCCAGGTGGGCCAGGGCTGCAGCCTTGGGGGGCAGCTCCAGCTCCACTGAGAAGACGCAGTTGTCTGAGGGTTGGGCCTGAGCTGCATCCACCAGGCCTGGTCCCAGCTTCTGGGTCAGAAAGCTCATCACAGCCGTCAGCTCTTCTCGGCTCAGGTCTGCAAACAGCTGGCTCTGGCCAGGGTGTGTCCAGGGCTGGGCACTTGGTGATACGGAGGGGCAGAAGGGAGGCAGGCTGTGTTCACCACCATCTCCTCCCCTGCCAGCTAGCAAGACACACACCAGGGCAAAGATGGTGATGACAGCCAGAGCGAGGAGCACCAGGGTGGTCTTCTGGTTCATTGTCCCATGAACGTAGAGACAGAGGATTGAACCAAAGTGGAGACTTGTATTCTCAGTCCAGCAGAAGAGGGTCTCTTTTGCTCCCTGTACTGGGGGCTCCTAGACTCTGGCTGAGGTTCTCAGTATTGCGACGCAATGGAGACTGAGGATGGGAAGAGCATGGGAAGGCTGGGGAGGGGGGCGGAGCGGGCTGGGGTTGGGAGGCGGGCCTAAGGCAGGGCAGCAGTGATTTCCACAGACCTTACATGGCTTTGTGTTCCAGGCTCCAACTCACATTCTGCTCTCTGGGTCAGGGTTGGGACAGGGGAGCGCTGGGTTAGGAGGAAGGGGTGGTGGGGATTTCAAACGAATGCAGCTGACCAGCCTGAGCACAGACATGCGCTGACATGCACAGAAATGCCGGGGAGGAGGAGCCCCTCTTTCCCCTCCGCCCCACTTCTTTCCCCAGCGCCCATTTCTCAGGGCCAGATGTTCCCTTTCCTGCAACTTGGAACTATTGTCCTCCTTCCAAGGAAACCCCACCCCCAGCTCTCCAGCTTCCCAAGCAGCATTTCTTGGCCAGGTCTGTCCCCCTTGCCCCCTCTCCTCCATGGCTAATTTCCTTGGCCAGAGTCCTTAATATTCTCTGGGGGATTCTAGATATACTTCAAAAGTCAAAGAGAAGAAATCCAAGTAAAAGTCTTGTGATACTTTTTATTATAAATTACACACACCATCAGTTTTTACAAAATTCTATCTATTCTTCCACTTCAATGCACATGCATTAAAGAAATGTCCGGTATAACATTCACCAAATGTGAATGCTGTTTCTGAGTGGTAGGATTTGTGGTGTTTTAGCTTGAGTATTTTAATATCAACGTCATTTGTATAAATTCATCATTTTTAAAAAGTGAACTGGAAATAAGAATTAACCAAAGGATATATGGGGGTTTACGTGGTAGGAGGCGGTTTCCCAAGGGTCGAGTGTCAGGGGAGCAGGAAGTGGGAACAGAGAGGAAGGTACATGTCTTGGCACCCCCTCTCCGCCCTGCCCATGTCCCACCACACACTCAGGGCTACAAGTCTTGGTAAGAGAAAGGCGGCAGGTCCGGGACACAGGCCACCAGGTGGGGGATGCAGGCCACATGATTGACACTGCAGAGTCCAGCATCCTGGCCCTTCTCAAAGTAGACGCTGCCAGGGGAGAAGATGGAGGGGTCCTCATCAAAGAAGTTATAGGGTCGGAGCAAGAAGCCAACTCTGTTCCCCAGAGTCACTGTGTTGGGGACATCCTCAGCGTGAGGGATGTGCAGGAAGCTGGCTGTAACCCAAGCCACCAGGTCCTGCAGGAAGAGGAAGAACTGGAGACTTTGGAGGCGAGACCCAGAGAACCCCCCCTCAGCCACAATCCCCAATCTCCAGTCTCAGCCCTGCTTCCACCTCTGCCCAGCCGCAGGCCCAAATAACAGGCGTGGTAATCCATGTGAGAAGCTGTAGGGTGGTCCCAGGGCTGATCTCACCCCCAGGAGGGATGACCCATGTTGGTCATCAGGGAACTCCCTGGCTGGCCCCTAATCTAAGAACTGGAAATCTACCATTCCCTCCATCCTACAGCCAGGGGCCAGGCAGCCATGACACCAGGCTTAGGGGAGCTCCTTTCCTCTGCCCCTAGGGCTACCAACCTCTCCTAACAGGGTCTCATTGTTGATGAAGTCAGCAAAGGCTGTAGTGGGTGTCCAGATGTCATTCTGGTAATAGATGCTGCTGCTCTGTGACTCCTCCTCCTTCCTCCGGGTCACCACAAGCTGGTATCTGACCAGGAATGTTGTAGGAAGGTGGTGTCAGAAAATGTCAAGGGTCTTTACCAGCCCAGAAATCCTTTGGATCAGATTCTGTGTGAGACCATTCCCGTCCCATATCTACTTGGATCTGAGAAGAGGTCCAGGGGTGAGTGATCGAGGTTAGTGAGTTGGGGTCTTCAAGAGCTGGGATGGGAAGGGGACCAGTCCTTCCCTACCACCCAGTGCCCAGGGCCCTCCTCACCTCCCCCAGCTGAGGGCCCTCTCCATGTCGCTGTCCAGGGGCATGTGTATGCCAAGAGGGCTGTGGATCTGGATTCGGTACCCGCGCTGGTGACCCCAGGAATTAGTCTGGTTGCTAGCCAAGTAAAGGTAGCGGGGAAGGGGGTTCCCCAAGAAAAAAGCTGTCAGGTCCTCCCTTCCCAGGACCTGCCGAGTCAGCTGTGGGCGCTGCAGTTGGTGCTCCGGACTCCAAGGGGCTGCCACAGGTTTAAACACCACGTCTTCAGCTACCACCCAGTTTTTCAGCCCTGCCAGGGTGAGGGGAGGGAGAGGAGTTCCACAGCAGGTGAGACAGGTCCCTTGTTTTCTCCGTGATGCCCCCTGCACTGGCCTGACAAAGGACAGCAGAGCTCATCAGAGCTCTGCTCACCACAGCAGAGCTCATCAGCTCTGCGCTGGGAGCCAGGTCTGGACTTGAGAGCTAGCCCGCCTTCTTTGAACTTGCCCTGTCCAACACAGTTACCACCGGTCACAAGTGGCTCTTTCAATTTAAAAATTCAGTTCCTCAGTCACACTATCTACATTCCAAGTGCTCAATAGCTACACATGGCTAGCGGCTAACATATCGGACAAGGCAGACAGGTAACATTCCATCATTGCAGAAAGTTCTATTGGCACTGGTCTACCCAATATACTTTGGACCAATTATTTACTTCTCTGATTCTCACTTGGTGAATCGCTACAATGGGCATAAGAAAAGCTGTTCTGTGGCTGAGCTCTATAAATGTAAAAGCACACACAGGTGGCTAATAACATTCTTCTAACTATGAAAGGGATATTTGTCTTGGAGAAGCCGGATGGAAAAACCCAATCCCCTTCCGTGGTGCCCTGCGTACTCCTCCTGGCTCTGAGACTTTGATTTTTTTCTCAATATGGCAGGTACCACTTTGTCTTTTTTACAAGGAAGTAGATTCATATCTTTAAATTGTCTGGGCGATCCCTGGAACACTTATACTCTTTCTGCAGGTTCGGACTGCTAGTTCCTTTTGGCATGACTCATATGAATGTGCTGGCACACAGGGAACTCTCCTGAAGCCAGTGCCCCTGCCAGCTGTCCTGTGCGCAGGGGCCTGACATAGACGCTCTGGCCCACAGCACCAGCCTGTGCTGCACGCTGGTCCAATACATGTGATTTGATTTTATGTCCTAAGACAAGGCTCTTCAACGCCAAAATGCTGGAAAGAACACTTCAAGTCAGAAAATAGTCATATTCCAAATATGTCCAAGAATAACCTAGTTAAAACGCATGATTTAAAATAGCATTTCAATCATGCTGTTTTCTTAGCTCTCTCCCCTCCACCCGCCCAGCGCACACACACAGATGCACACACACGCCATCTTTATACTCAAGAGAATATGGAAATGTTTCACAAGAAATATGCTGAGTTACAGTGCATTACACTTGGGCAGCCACTTCCTGACCCATCTCCCCCCACCCTCCTTAGTTTCCGTAACTGAAAAATGGAGAGGGTCTGATGGATTCCTAATTTTCTTTCTGGGCCTAATAGTCTAACTTGATAAGTTAATTATTTTGTTCTGGACAAAAATCTGTCAGGAGCTTTAGGTCCCCTTTGTGCTTAGAGCCCGACTTGAGAAATCCCTTTCTACACTTGCAGCAAGCCTATTGCATGCCTGCCATGTCACCAGAGAGCCCACCGCGATGACATGTGCTGGCAGGAATGGGACGGTCCTCCCCAGGAGGCGGATGGGGCCCCTGTCTCGTAATCTCAGTTGTCTGAAATCCTGCGGAGCAGCCCCCAGCTAGCACCTCCTTTTCTCAGGCCCCAGGACCACCTCCACTCTGAGGAAGCTCTTTACACAGACTACTCCCTATCTCTGTTCAGGTCCCAGCTTCCCCCACCTCCACCGACTCTCAGAATGAGGAAAAACTCAGAGCCCCAGCTCCAGCCGTGTCCAGCCTCAGACAGGCAGGGCAAGTTCACCACCCACAGACAGGCCAAGGCAACCAGCTAGTACAGCGCAGCCATTACATTTGGTTTCACAATTGCAGCGGGTCAGAGGGGCTGGGCGGGGGAACACTCTCTACCTTTTGCCAAGTACCCAATAAGCCCAGTACTGAGGCTGACTGCAGTTGAATACGGTCAGATCAGTCCCTGCTGTTGCCACAATAAATTGTGGTGCTGGAACGCCACCCTCTTGCCTCTTCCGGCTTGATGTGCGGGTCTCCCTTCCCTCTGGCCCACCCCAACGCTCAATCCTCACCCCCTGGGCACTCACCTGCCACATCCAGGTCCAGCTTGAAGTGGAAGGCATGCGTGTGCACCGCCCCCAGCACTCTCGCCCCAACGCGGTTCCCAAAGAGGAGGCTCTCCTCGCCCCCGCTCAGGAAAGCTGTGTTGATGTAGCCCGTGGCATGGACCCGCCCTTCAAGCGCCCCATTTGGGTGCAATACAAAGTCCCAAATGTAGTCATAGTTGCCTACAGAGGACACAGACCTGACTACAAGGGCCGAGCCAGCCAGACCACCATAGAAATGACTCTGAAGGTGACTGTGGTGCCTGCGGAGGGGTAGTCCCTGGGCCTCCTCAAACACACACACAGCCCCCGGGAGCAGCTGGACTGCCCCTTTGCCCACTAATACGTGGATGTCCACCATGGTAGACTGATAGGGGCAGTCCACTCCCCGCACCAAGCCCCGGCTGTGATGGCCAAGTCCATAGCTGCTATCCAGGTATCGGGTCATCATTGTCTTGGGTGAATCGGCACCATAGATAGAAACACACTCCTGGACACTGACTTCATAGGCCACTCGCTCACCCTTGAACCGAACATCAAAAATCCTCATGCCACTGAACACCCCATGGCCAAAGGTAAACGTCCAAAGGGAGGACGCCACTAGGTTCCCTTGCACACTGTACCGGGAGCCCTGAGGTGAGAACTGAAGAGGGGGGAGAGGACCTGGGGAGACCCGCGATCGCAGCGATGAGGCCCCATCTGGCAGGGGCAGAGGGACTCTAACCACTTCCAGCCGGCCAGCCTTGAACTCCCATTCCAGCTGACCCAAGTCTGCATAGTAGTGCCCAAGGTAGAAGACCTGCTGGACAGCCCAGCGGGCAGGGTCCAAGGCCCTGTGGTCCAGCAGCAGCTCGAGCCCCACAGGGTGAAGGAAAATCCCAACACCTGAGATGTTATGGTAGAGGGCTATCCAGGTAGCACGGTCCCCTGAGCGCAAGCCACGAGGGGTGGCGTGCAGAGCTGCCAAAGTGGAACCATTGTAGTTGAAGACAGAAGCCAGGAAGACTGGTGCCTTGGGGAGCTCCACCTCTTTCAAATGCTTCCACATCTGGGCAGACTCAGTTCCCAGCACGGGGCGTCGGTGATAGGGCAGGGGGCCCCCGTGACGCTCCACAGTCACGTCCCGCAGGTAGGAGGGGTGCGGCAGTGGCCCCACCAGCAGCTCAGTCACATTGGGCTGGGGTTGTCCACCAAAGAAAACGATGGCCAGTGCTTCCCGGGCAGGCGGGGGGCTCCCCCTGTCCAGGTGGGCCAGGGCTGCAGCCTTGGGGGGCAGCTCCAGCTCTACCGAGAAGACGCAGTTGTCTGAGGGTTGGGCCTGAGCTGCATCCACCAGGCCTGGCCCCAGCTTCTGGGTCAGAAAGCTCATCACAGCCGTCAGCTCTTCTCGGCTCAGGTCTGCAAACAGCTGGCTCTGGCCAGGGTGTGTCCAGGGCTGGGCACTGTAGGATACAGAGGGGCAGCGGGGAGGCTGGCTGGAGCTACGTTGGCTGGTCAGCAAGACATAGGCCAGGGCAAAGACGGTAATGAGGGACAGTGCCAGGAACACGAGGACTACCTTGAGATTCATGGTGAATGCCGAGAGCTGAAATGAGAGTCCCGCCAGCTGCTCCTTCTGCTTACTGACATCAAATCAGGGTTTATATTCAGTAGGATGGATAGGAATAGTGAAAACTCCACCCTGTGGGTTGGACGGGAAATTTCTGACCTTGATTTATATAATTCTGCTCCAATTTTCTGTTCTGTGGTTTGGCTCAAGGTACTACTTCCACGTGCATAGCCTCTCCCCATCCCTGAACTCCTCCCAGCAGCACGGTCAGTACCCACTACCGATCTCCATCATTTAGACCAGATTAGAGGGCATTTGTATATACACTAGACTCTACCTTCCACCCAGAATGGGTCTGAGGAGGTATGCAAATCTCAGACGCCCAATCAAGTCCCATGTACTACATGCAACCACTCTAACTGCCCACTTGCCTACCTCCTGGCAGGCACTCCCCTCCAGTGTTTCCAGGATCCACTGCCCAGTTCAGCAGTAAGCACTGCGTTCTGCCAGATGCCTAAGACCAAAAGCCCCTGGTCTAGTCTCAGGCCTCTTCCATCTAGTCAGTGAGAAAGGAGTGGTGCAGGCCTGGGCGCAGCAGTCAGATTTGTACACCAATCGCAGGTCCCTAAGCTGTGTGACCTGAGGGGAGTTACTTATCATAAGTCTCCGTGTCCTCACCTATAAAGAAGGGATAAAACTACCCTAGAGATTCATGGAGAGTAAATGAGATCAGGCATGTAAAGTGCTTAACAGCCTGACACGGGGTAGGCATTCAGAAATTGTCAGCTACTGGTAAGGATCTCTGAAACAGAAGAGAGCAGATGTTCCTCCATTGTTCAAGACCTTAAACCTTTTTCTGCAGAGACAACAGATACCAGATCATCGGATACCAGAATGCTACTCTGCAAGGTGGAAGTTAAGGAAACTTTATTTCAGAGGGAGCTAAGGTCCTAGATAGCCCTCCAATTCATTTGAAAACCAAAAACCAGGAGTCCCTGGCATCTCCGCAAGAAACTTAAGACATTATTCAGAAGGAACTTTTAGTATAGAGCAAAGAAAATGACGGGGTCGGGTGTGCCTTGAACCAGGTGATTCCCCACACACGGAACTAGAGCAGCCTCTACTGGCAGTTCATGGGTATCACTGGGGAGGGAAGGAAGGAAGGAAGGAAGGAAGGAGCTGGGATCTTGTGAGGGTAGAAGGCAGCTTAGGTTTGGAAAGAGCTAACTTTCATTTAATTCAGACTGAAGACAAATGAAGGACCCACCCTTGCCTCTTGGTAGGCAGAAGCCTCAGCCTTTCCATTATTCCAGAGAAAAGAGGCAGCTCAGTTGGTATAAAGACACCCAATAGGGTGGCTGGAGGTATATGCGGAGGTGGGTATCCCAATGTGCACACACGTAAGTGTGGGTATGTTCCTGGACACCAGAGCATCGCATCAGGGTCTGCAGCTTTAGAAAGAGGTCAAAGTACCTGTATTTTTAATAATTTCTTGACATGGTAAAAGAATTTTACATTACGATCCAAGGGTGGTAAGGTGAGGAGGGGGGACATGGGAACAATCCAACAAACAAAAAGGGAAACTGAGAAACACATGGTGGGAGGACGGAACATTTTAGCTGGAAGGGGTCTGAGGGTGGGTAGGGGCACTGCCCAACTAAAATGCAATTGGTTTGTTACTGAGTACTATTCATGGGAAGACAGCATCCTAACTCCTTCTCTAGAGCACACTGGGAGGAAAAATGATGCATCCAGATGGAAATATGATTGGGGGCTGCAAGACAGAGACAGGGGTAGAATAAAAGTCAGCAACAGACACAGAGAATCACCAGCAGACTCTCCAGTAGTGGTAGAATAAAAGTGGGGGTTGATGAGGGTTAACACAAAAGCTGTAACAAGTGACATCTCTGGAAGATTTGAGAGGTAAGAGGCAACTCTTCTATGGTTTTGACTTGCCCAGCAGATTTCCACATACACACAATGTGTACATGCATGTGTGTGCATGCACACACATATACACACAAGTGACCGCTTTCCCTGGAAGCACAATACTATAAATAAGAAAACGTTTTTCCCAAAGGGAAAACCCAGTAGGAGCAGCAGCATCTGGCCTCACAGCTGCAGACACCCCCACCCCAATTTACAACTGGCCTGGGAAGAGGAAACCGGGATTCAGAGGACCAGCCTTTGCAAAAATGCCCCAAAGGACCCGAATCACAGAGGAAGGGGAACCCACTACCCCTGCTTCTCATCTCTCAGTTGTCCTCCAACTCACCAGCCTCGGGCACCAAGAGGCTACAATACCAGGAGACAATGGGCCCTGGTGGATGAGAATTTAGACACCCAACACCTTCTGAACAGGGGTGTGTGTGTGTGTGTGTGTGTGTGTGTGTGTGTGTGTGTGTGTGTGTGAGAGAGAGAGAGAGAGAGAGAGTGTGAGACAGAGACAGGGTTTGGGGCGGTGGGCAGGGCTGGGGGGAGGGGGGCATCAAGTAACAGAGTAGGAAGGCATGTGTGTGCTGCATGTGTGTACATGTGTGTATATGACGCACATATGTGTATGTGAAAATCCTAGTTATAAAAACATCTGAAGCAGCTAGGGACTTGGCAGAAGGTCTAAGGTGTTTCTTTTCATGATCAGGTTCAAGATGCAATGTATATAGATGGGAAACCCGAAGTCATCACCAGGGCAACTGTGGCAGGGAGGATGCAACGTTCCACAGTGTCAAGGGACACTAACCTCCCATCAGGAAGAAAGGAGTTGGTCCCCCACACTCCGCCCCAGTTACTACAAAACACCTAGCACTCTCCTTCCAGTTCCCTCAGCTTCTAACCAACTGATCATCAAGAGGAAGAATATACAAAGCCCAAGACACAGGAGGGAGCCAGGGAGAAAAAACACAAGTATTCTTGTGCCAATATCCTGCGTACACAAACCTGGAGGTCTCCAGAAATTAGGACAGGGGGGCGTGGGGTACTAGGGAAGGAAATAGAAGAGTTCCTGAGGCCTGAAAAAAGAGGTAAACACGTCACAGAACTACATGAGAGTTTCATTAGGCTCTAACTAAAAACAGAGAGAGGGGTGATTACTACTTCCAGCCAGTTTCCCCATCACGATAGTCATGTAACAAACCAAGGCAATGTCGGTCTTGAGCCAGACTCACAGAGTCCCCTGGCCCTGGCCCTGGCCTCAGTACAGTGTCTCTGCATTGCTGCTCCGGGGCCGTTTGATCTTCTCGATATTTTTCAGGATCATGTCATGTAGAGTGACCTGGGAGAAGAGGGATCATGGACTCACATGTCTATTGTACCCCTACCTCACTAGGAAAATAAGACACCGCCACAAACTCCCAAGCAATCACTCACATAACCTGGATCTCACTCACCTGAATCTGAATTCAGCATGGCTGCCCTACTACCTCTCTTATACCCCAGGCACACCTGGGTATATCCAGGGCCCAAGAGTCTAATAAATTACATTTACTGAGCATTTAACATACCAAGAATTGCACTGTGTCCTTTAATGTGTTAACTGAAGTTTGAGGTTAAACTTGCCCAAGGCCACACATTACAGGTAGGATTGGTTCTAAACCTAAGCCTGACTCTAACACCCACATCTTCACCCCTATTCTATGTTGTGCCCTTTCCCATCCAGGTAGAAAGAAGGGAGATGCCCAGCTAGATACCTTCAATGACCTCATACCTCTCAACACTTGGCTAATGGGCAGAATTTGTTCCACTCATTTTACCTCCACCCCTGCCCTCCATCTCAACCTCCAGAGAGTGGCAAGAAAATGGTCACCAGAACTAAGAGAAGCCAGAGCAACTGTGGGCAGGGACCAAGGTTACTTACATATTGATTCCTTAGCTCTGATATGATGAGCCGAAGGCTGATATATTCTTTCTCATCAATCTCTGTCACGGTGCGGCGATAGTCCTCCTGAGAGCGGGGTGGAGAAAAGGCTAGTTCCCAAAGCCTGACTGTCCCCACATGGCTCCTCCCAGGAACAGCCACTCCTCCCGGTCCTACCACTTCCACCCTCGGCCCACAAAACCCTTACTTACCACATGGGGATATTTAGCTATTTTAGAAACCAATTTGGCTCTTGTAATATAATATCTGGAAGGAGAGAGAAGAGGAGGAAGCTGCAGGAGACCCTGGACAGTGCTTACCACCTCATCAGCCCCCAATTCCTGGGCCAAGCCCAAGCAGCCCTACCTAGATATCTGGTCCAGATAAGATGCAGCTTCACTCTCAACAGTTCTTAGTTCTGCAACTGTCTCCTCCTGAAAAACAACTGAGTCAAAAGTCACTTCCATATCACCCCAAGGCAGACCAAAGAGAAAGGGAAAACAGAAAAGCAGGGGAAATGAGATTACCTCCCAAACTTTCCTCTCCAGTTTCTAATGCAAGCACATTACCTGAATGGACACCCCAAAGTTGTTCCCATCTTCTATCCTAGGAATCAGGAGTTGTACCCACATTTTGACCTGGAGAGTGAGGAGACCAAAATATACATATGAGGACCTTGGCCTTTTCTACTGAAGCCACGAAGTATACAATTCATGCTGCTGGGGCCAGATGTCAGGAGCACAGGAGCCAAAATAGACTTCCTAGAGAGAGAGAGAGAGAGAGAGTGTGAGACAGAGACAGGGTTTGGGGCGGTGGGCAGGGCTGGGGGGAGGGGGGCATCAAGTAACAGAGTAGGAAGGCATGTGTGTGCTGCATGTGTGTACATGTGTGTATATGACGCACATATGTGTATGTGAAAATCCTAGTTATAAAAACATCTGAAGCAGCTAGGGACTTGGCAGAAGGTCTAAGGTGTTTCTTTTCATGATCAGGTTCAAGATGCAATGTATATAGATGGGAAACCCGAAGTCATCACCAGGGCAACTGTGGCAGGGAGGATGCAACGTTCCACAGTGTCAAGGGACACTAACCTCCCATCAGGAAGAAAGGAGTTGGTCCCCCACACTCCGCCCCAGTTACTACAAAACACCTAGCACTCTCCTTCCAGTTCCCTCAGCTTCTAACCAACTGATCATCAAGAGGAAGAATATACAAAGCCCAAGACACAGGAGGGAGCCAGGGAGAAAAAACACAAGTATTCTTGTGCCAATATCCTGCGTACACAAACCTGGAGGTCTCCAGAAATTAGGACAGGGGGGCGTGGGGTACTAGGGAAGGAAATAGAAGAGTTCCTGAGGCCTGAAAAAAGAGGTAAACACGTCACAGAACTACATGAGAGTTTCATTAGGCTCTAACTAAAAACAGAGAGAGGGGTGATTACTACTTCCAGCCAGTTTCCCCATCACGATAGTCATGTAACAAACCAAGGCAATGTCGGTCTTGAGCCAGACTCACAGAGTCCCCTGGCCCTGGCCCTGGCCTCAGTACAGTGTCTCTGCATTGCTGCTCCGGGGCCGTTTGATCTTCTCGATATTTTTCAGGATCATGTCATGTAGAGTGACCTGGGAGAAGAGGGATCATGGACTCACATGTCTATTGTACCCCTACCTCACTAGGAAAATAAGACACCGCCACAAACTCCCAAGCAATCACTCACATAACCTGGATCTCACTCACCTGAATCTGAATTCAGCATGGCTGCCCTACTACCTCTCTTATACCCCAGGCACACCTGGGTATATCCAGGGCCCAAGAGTCTAATAAATTACATTTACTGAGCATTTAACATACCAAGAATTGCACTGTGTCCTTTAATGTGTTAACTGAAGTTTGAGGTTAAACTTGCCCAAGGCCACACATTACAGGTAGGATTGGTTCTAAACCTAAGCCTGACTCTAACACCCACATCTTCACCCCTATTCTATGTTGTGCCCTTTCCCATCCAGGTAGAAAGAAGGGAGATGCCCAGCTAGATACCTTCAATGACCTCATACCTCTCAACACTTGGCTAATGGGCAGAATTTGTTCCACTCATTTTACCTCCACCCCTGCCCTCCATCTCAACCTCCAGAGAGTGGCAAGAAAATGGTCACCAGAACTAAGAGAAGCCAGAGCAACTGTGGGCAGGGACCAAGGTTACTTACATATTGATTCCTTAGCTCTGATATGATGAGCCGAAGGCTGATATATTCTTTCTCATCAATCTCTGTCACGGTGCGGCGATAGTCCTCCTGAGAGCGGGGTGGAGAAAAGGCTAGTTCCCAAAGCCTGACTGTCCCCACATGGCTCCTCCCAGGAACAGCCACTCCTCCCGGTCCTACCACTTCCACCCTCGGCCCACAAAACCCTTACTTACCACATGGGGATATTTAGCTATTTTAGAAACCAATTTGGCTCTTGTAATATAATATCTGGAAGGAGAGAGAAGAGGAGGAAGCTGCAGGAGACCCTGGACAGTGCTTACCACCTCATCAGCCCCCAATTCCTGGGCCAAGCCCAAGCAGCCCTACCTAGATATCTGGTCCAGATAAGATGCAGCTTCACTCTCAACAGTTCTTAGTTCTGCAACTGTCTCCTCCTGAAAAACAACTGAGTCAAAAGTCACTTCCATATCACCCCAAGGCAGACCAAAGAGAAAGGGAAAACAGAAAAGCAGGGGAAATGAGATTACCTCCCAAACTTTCCTCTCCAGTTTCTAATGCAAGCACATTACCTGAATGGACACCCCAAAGTTGTTCCCATCTTCTATCCTAGGAATCAGGAGTTGTACCCACATTTTGACCTGGAGAGTGAGGAGACCAAAATATACATATGAGGACCTTGGCCTTTTCTACTGAAGCCACGAAGTATACAATTCATGCTGCTGGGGCCAGATGTCAGGAGCACAGGAGCCAAAATAGACTTCCAATTCCCACATCATCTCCACGCCTCCAGCCCCATATCCATCAACTTGCATAGTTCAAGCCAGGCTATTTGGGGTCAGCCCCTGCCTCACCGTGTTGCATTTCTCAATCAGCAGCCGGATCTCAGGCTTCACTTTTTCAATAATGTCCACCAGCTGCTGGTTGCTTTTTAGCATCCCATTGGGCATCACGAACACCTTGGTTCCTGGCAGGGACATGAGGAAGGTTAAATGATTTGGATGGAAGGCAGGACATAGCACTCCACCCCTTTCTCTCTTTCCCAGACCCATGAGATGCTATGACCTCTGCCTTTTATCTGTCACAAATCTATAAACCTTGACACCCCCAACAAAATCAAAAAGAGAACGCATGGATTAGCAAATGCGTGTCTAAAGTATCCCAAAACTCTGAAGAATAAAAAAATTAAAACATGCTCTATAGACTTAATGTACCAACTATTACTGAAGAGGAAAAAATGATATGGAACTGTGACTTCTGTGAAAAATCTGTGATGTGTAGCCACTTCCAACCTCTCTCCCTTGGCAGTCCACACTAAGACAAACCCTCCCTATTAACTGGAAAATTAGGTTTACAGTGCTAAATAATGACAATGCTTGGAGGACTTGGGAATGCTAACGTCTGGGAAATAAATTCAGATCCTGCTTCCTGGCCAGGAGAACACAAGATTCATCCTGCATCTCAGGGCTGCAGGCCGGGAAAGGCTGGGGTGGGGTACAGTGAAGGGAGCTCTTACCCTGGAAGGCCTCTTCACATTCATCCAATCTTCGCTTCTTGTAAGTGGGCTAAAGATACAAAAAGATGGGAATTAGCCTGCTTGACACCTACATCCCCATCATAAGCTACCCTTCGAGCAAGTTTAATCCCTTCCTCGACCCCATTATTCATTTACACACAATTTACTAAGCACATACAAGGCTTTAAGAGAAGATTCTTGGGGCCTCCCTGATGGCACAGTGGTTAAGAATCCGCCTGCTAATACAGGGGACACGGGTTCCAGCCATGGTCCGGAAAGATCCCACATGCCAGCGAGCAACTAAGCCTGTGTGCCACAACTCCTGCACTCTAGAGCCCACGAGTCACAACTACTGAGCCCACGTGCCACAGCTACTGAAGCCCACATGCCTAGAGCCCATGCTCTGCAACAAAAGAAGCCACCACAATGAGAAGCCCGTGCACTGCAAAGAAGAGTAGCCCCCGCTCGGCACAACTATAGAAAGCCTGCGTGCAGCAACGAAGGCCCAACGCAGCCATTAATTAATTAATTAAAAAGATTCTTGCCACAAAGCAACTTAAACTCTAGTTGGGAAGACCAACCTTTCAAGAAATATAACAAATTAAGCAATTAGGGGTAATTCCCTGGTGGTCCAGTGGTTAGGGCTTGGCACTTTCACTGCCAGAGGCCTGGGTTCCATCCCTGGTTGGGGAACTAAGATCCCACAAGCCGTGCGACACGGCCAAATAAGTAAATTTTTAAAAATTTAAAAATTAAGCAATTGGGCAAGGGGGATACTATAAAAAACAGGAAAAATGAAGCACTGAATGCAGTTAGGATAATTAAGGGAATAAATACAAATCCGCTGGTTCCACAAAGAAATGCAATATTCAATCAACAAACGTGTATTTAGCACCTGCTATGTACCAGGAACAATGCTAGGTGCTGGGGATACAAAGATAATTAAGACAGTTTCTGCTCTCCAGAATTGCAAGTTCTATCAATGAGACAGTAATGCAGACAAAGAACAATACAGTACAGTGTCATCAGTGTTATAATAAAATATGGATATATAGCTGATAAAGACTAGGCACTAAAGATACACAAAGACTAGGACTGCAGTTACATAGCAAGAAGGACTGTTCATTCCATAACAACACTCAAGACACTGAAATGGGTAAGAAAAGTCTTGCCTAGAGTCCTGGGGACAGACCAGATCACCTGAGGGAACCTGTAGCTATTTGTCCTATTTTTAAACTCACTCTAACAGAGTAACATTAACATATTCACTTCACGCTACAAATGAAAATCAGGATCTAAAGGGGGTGTACTTCAGTCATAACATCTGTAAGAATCCTCATTCCCAGATCCAAATCCCACTGTCCCCTCTGTATATGTTCAAACTGAGCAGGGAATAATGAACAGAGAACCTACTGCTTCCGAACACAAAGATAAATATACGACACTTACACCGTCCAGTCCATCATGGCTATTGGTGAGAAGAATGGGGTCAGGGACTGGGAGATTCATGTCTGAGTGGATCTGAGTTAGGTCATGGATGTTTAGGATTGGTTCCTGAAAGAGAGAAGCCCACCCCAAAAACATTAGTTTTTTTCAAGATGAACAAAGAAGTATTTCATTTAAAGGGCAAGAAATGAGAGCGCTTTACAGGACAAAACAAAACAGAATTAACACGTGATTTGTCCCATTTGACAGAAAGACCGGGGGCAAAAAAATGGGGGAATCTGAGAAAAAGAAAAGCGTCTCTCACCTTCAAAAAACTATCAAGTTCTAACAATTTCTTTGGGAAAAAATTTGCCACCAAGTCTTCTGCCTAAAGATGAGGGAAAATACAACCGAATTAGTAACTGTGGGAAGGTCTGTCTCTACAGGTATCTCTCCTCTGGCGAACTCCCGACTATTAACCAACATTCATTTTTCTATTTATTTCACTCACCTCACTTGTGATCCGTTCCCTGAAAGAATCAACCTAAAATTAATAAAGAAAACAATTCACTATGAGTAAGTCGGTACCTGGCAACAGAAGTATGGGCAGGATGGGGAAACCCAAATCCAACTGTCTTCCCCTCACCTTGTAATCGTAATGAGAAGCTGAGAGGCCCCCAGACTGCAAATACTTTCTTTTTCTGAGGATCCATTTCTCCATCTCAGGAGAGGGAAGCCGGGCTTGAGGGCAACACCCGCCTGTCTTCCCTCCCTCCCTCCCTGTTCTGAAGCTGTCTGACTTTAAGAGCAGACAAAAGACAGGTAGGTGGGGGAGGTGTGAGCTCACAAACGTGTCAACCACCATCCAAACCTGGCCCAGGATACGAGGCAGACCTGATGCCAAGGGCAGGGGCAGCAGCAGCGTCCGGAGGCGGGGACGCTGCTGGGCTGGGGGACTTCCAGCTGTCACTGGCCTAAAGAACTTAAGTCCACCACGTGTCCGCAGAGGTCTCCCCGGGCTCTCCACTATTAGACGGGGTACAGAAGGCCATCCCATATTATCCTCTCCCCCGATGCTGTCCCGGGAGTGGGGGGCTGGGCTGAGCCGAGCGGAAGCTCAGGGCTGGTGTCCCCAGGGAGACAAAGACGCCGTGGGGAGTGGGGAGCCGGTCAGACTGCTCGGGGATCGAAGCGAGGGGTAAGGAGGCCCGGGCCGGTGCCGTTACCTTGAGCTTCACTTCCTGATCCACCTTCAGCAACGAGGCCATGGCCGGGCCGGGCCGTGTCCGCTCCGCTGGAGACCGGAGGCGCTGTGGGCTCCGGGGAGGGGGTCAGAGGGAGGCGGGAATGTCGACTGCTTTCGGGACGCGGCCGCCCTCGCTGGCTCACTCACTGCTCTCTCGCTCCCTCCCTTCGTGCCGTCCGTCCGCCCGCCCGCCTGCTGCCTGTGCCTGCTGCCTGCTCCCTCTCTCGCTCGCCCTCCCGGCTTTCGCCGCTCACGCCGGAAGTTACGTCACAGACAACCGCCGGGATTTCGGCGAGGATGCGCACAAGTCCTGCGCAGCCGCGCTGAGGTTCGGCTCTGGACATTCTTACTTCCCGGCTCCTCTGCGCTCTACGGGTGAAATAAAAGGGAGTGCGGCCAAGGGTGGTTTAGTGAGATCTGAGGCTCAAAGAGACTCGGGGATTACTTGCTTCTCTGTTATCCCGGCACTCGCCTTCTCCGAAGGGACCTTCGGAGCCGCTACCGCCTCGAGCGGGGACCCGACCGACGACGCCGTCGCGCCCCAGTGACGCCGTCGCTCCTCGACCTGAGGAAGCCGACGGTCCCCGTGCTGGGTTTGGGGCGTCTAGTCTGTGATATCTGCCGCCTCCTCCTCTTGGCCGGAGCTCTAGTGTTAGGCTGGAGCCTAACAGAAGACAAATCCTGTCGCACCAGGCTTCCCAACCTTTCTCTGCCATGTAGCCACTTAATCTCATACACTTTCACCTCAGTGATCAACTGCCTGATGGATGGGCAAATTGATGTCTGGAGGCCGGTAGTGCTTGTCCAAGGCTACACAGTGTTTCCAGAAAATCCAAGACCAGAACTCAGATCTCCTAACTTCTAGGGCAATGCTGTATCCATTTTCCTCCTGGAAGGCAGAGTCTCTAACCCTTAATTCACCCACTCATGGTCTCTTAACATTGGTTATTTCGCTCTAAAATGGACTAGGCTCTGAGACAGCAGTGTCTCAGAGGCTAGAAATAATGTGTCACTTATGTAAGTTAAAATCTTCTAGCAGCCACATTAAAAAGTGAAACAGGTAAAAAAAAAAAAAAAAAAAAAAAAAAAGTGAAACAGGTGAAATTAGTTTTAATCATATATTTAACCCAGTTTAACCAAATATTATCATTTCATCATGTAATCAATATAAAAAATATTAATGAGATCTTGTACATTCTTTTCTCATACCAAGTCTTTGAAATCCAGTATGAATTTTACACTTACTTGCACATCTCAGTTCAGAGGAACCACATTTGCAGTACTCAGTGACCATATGTGGTTAGTGGCTCCTGTATTGAACAGCACAGTTCTGGGAAATCAAAGGTAAACAAGACTCAAGTTCTCTGGTCTCCTGGGACTTAATACTTGGGAAAGATACCAGAAAGTAAACTGACAACATAATTGCAAAATCTGATAAATGTTAGGGAAAAAATGACTGACATAGAGAATGCCAGGGGTCTATTTTAGTTAAAATGGCCAAGAAAGTCCTCTCAGATGAAGTGACAGGCTAAAAGGGTGTAAAAGGGTTAGCTTGGGAAGAGTGAGGGGAAGAACCTTCAAAGGTATGGGTGCAGCACAGGGAAATGCCCTGGGGAAGGAAAGTGGTTGTCCAGTTGAAGAAATTTTTTTAAAGAGCATATTTATTTATTTATTTATTTATTTATTGGCTGCACTGCCACCAGGGATCAAACCCGTGACTCCTGCAGTGGAAGCGTGCAGTATTAACTTCTGGACCACCAGGGAAGTCTCCGTTGAAGAAATTGAAAGACTAGTTAGTTAGTTGGGGGTGGGAGTGGGCTGGGGAGGGTTGTTAGGAAACAATTTGGATTAAGTGCAAAGGCAGGTCATCTGATTTACATATTATCTTGAGCACACCTCTGCGTTAAGAGCAAGGGAGGGACTTCCCTGTGGCGCAGTGGTTGGGAATCCGCCTGCCAATGCAGGGGAGACGGGCTCAAGCCCTGGTCCAGGAAGATCCCACATGCCACGGAGCAACAAAGTCTGTGCGCCACAACTACTGAGGCTGCGCTCTAGAGCCCACGAGCCACAACTACAGAGCCCGCGTGCCTAGAGCCCATGCTCCCCAACAAAAGAAGCCACCGCAATTAGAGGCCTGCGCACCGCAAAGAGGAGTGGCCCCTGCTCTCTGCAACTGGAGGAGGCCTGTGCGCAGCAACGAAGACACAACGCAGCCAAAAATAAATAAATTTATTAAAAAAAAAAAGAGCAAGGGAGGTGGTGGGAATACACAGTTAAATGAAGTGTGACTGACTATGGCCTCTGGAATCAGAGAAACCTGCCTTCAAATCCCACCTCAGCTCCTTACTAACTGTGATATCTTGGGAAAATTACTGAAATGCTGAGTCTCAGTTCCCTCATCTGTAAAATGGAATTTCAATTATTATTAACAAATAGTATGCAATTTTGTAGGGTTGTTAAGAATACTGGAAATCACATATATGTAAAAGAACTAGTACAGTGCCTGGATACAAGGCAGGCACTAGATAAACAGCCATTATCAGACAAGCTACTTATTCATGCTTAGCATGAACTTACCTCATGCTTACCTTAAACTATATAATTATTATCAGCCCCATTTTCAGACTCAAAGTTCTTTTCCACTTATTCAAGACCACATACAACATAGCCCATACTACCCATCTTGTGTATTAACATCTAACGGTTTTCCCCCTTTTACCCCTGCTTTCTGTTACACTTGTCCCTAGTAACTTTTCAACTCTGATCTGGAACTTAACTTCAGGAATGCTTTCCCAAATTAACTACATCCTATTTTAAGTGTGCCATTACCCTGCATTTCTTTCAGAATTGATAACTTCAGCTTGAAAACTTAATGTGCTTCTGCTTGTTGAAATATGGCTTTGTTCTCAAATAATTGTATTTTGTCTTCTTCAAGTAGGGTTGTAAGAAGACAGATACACATTCCTTTTTTATTTCCCTTTCTCCTCCCTTATCCAAGTGTTTTATGTAATGTGCACTCATTTGTTTATTTATTCAGTGAACAATTGCTGAGGGCACCACTACATTTAACAAACTATTCATTCCTGGGTGCTTATGAATCAAACATGATCACTGATGACTGGTCTTATTTTAAATTCATGTCCACAACATTCAAATGGGTGCTCCTGGGAGTCTCAGGTGTTCCTTGGCTTGGAGACAACCATCTTCTCCCTGTGTCTCTTCACATGTCTTCCCTCTGTTCATGTCCACCTTTGTGTCCAAATTGCCCCTTATTATAAGGACAACCAGTCATACTGGATTAATGACTTAATGACCTCATTAACTTGATCAGCTGCAAAGACCCTATTTCCAAACAAGGTCCCACTCACAGGTACTGGGGGTTAGGACTTCAACATCTCCTGGGAGAACGCAATTCAACTCACAACACCTACCATTATCTGAAATCACCTTATTCATTTGTTTACATGTTTATGGTCAAATTCTCTCCTCAAGAATATAAACTATTAGAGCAGTTCACCAGTGTATCCTCCCAGACCTAGACGAGTGACTGGCACATAGCAGGTCTTCAATAAATATTTGTCGAATTGATGACAATATGTTGATTATTCACAATCCCTCAGGCACTACACATACTGATTGTCATATATTCTCTAAGCAGCAGGGCACACGGAGAGTTTACTACGTGCCGGACATTGCTCTTTGTGCTTCATATTATTAGTTCATTTAATCATCACACTACCCTATGTGATATACACTATTATTCTTATTTTAATCTTTTCTCTCTTTTTTTCTTTTTTTGGCCGTGCCGCGCAGCATGTGGGATCTTGGTTCCCCAACCAAGGATCGAACCCATGTCTCCTGAAGTGGAAGCATGGAGTCCTAACCACTGGACCACCAGGGAATTCCCTGTTAATCTCATTTTACAAATATGAAAACAAGGTACAGAGTGGTTGAATAACTTGCTCAAGGTCAGGGTTGGTAAATGACAAAGACAGACTTCCAAACGCACAGTTGTCATCTCTATAGGCCCTACCTCTCCAGAAGCCCTTTACGTCTCCCCGCCTTTCTGAGATGGTGTTAGTGGCAGCCACACAGGAAGAAATGTAGGACTATGAATCCGCCACACGAGGCCTAGGTGAAAATTCTTTGAGGATGATTCCACCCATCTCCTCTAGAGGGGGTCTCATGCTGAAAGATCCAAGAGGAATAAGGGCTGTAAAGACCATCTCTAATTAGCAATACCAGGAGAAAATCAATCTAGTCCCACATATTACATGTGATGCTAATTATAGAAGGATCGTACACATTTAATATATTAATAGGAAAGTCACTTCTGGAAGTGGGAACAACTTTCTAAGCAATACAAGTCATCAAGAAAAAAAGCAGATTTGAATTCATAAAAACATAAAACGTCTGCACATCTGGAAAACACCTTAGTTAAACAGACCATTCATACAAATTAATGAAACGTACTGAGAAAAATACTAAGAACCTAATAGACAAACGAGCAAAGGACACAAACGAATTTCACAAAAGAGGAAAACCTTCACAAAAGGGTCAATATTTACAAGTAACCAATGATATATCAACTAAAATAACAAGGAAGTGCCATTTTTTTGCCCTCGTTCCTCAACTATATGATATCTAGTACTGGCCAAGGCATCGTGAAATAGGCTCTCTCATACATTACCGGAGGTAGAATATAATTATGTGCAACCACTTTGGAAAGCAATTGCTAACGTTAATCAAGAGACCTGAAATAGCCAAACTCAGTAATCCCAGTTGTGAGGTTCTATCATTAGGAAACAGTAAGCTCTTCACTGCAGCATTATTGTAATCACCAAAACTGGAAGCAATGGAAATTTCCAGCAACTAAGAAACACATTAAGGTAGCGCACTTGATGCAGTGTAATGCAGTCATGAGAATGACAATTACAAAAACTGTATAGCAACATGGGAAAATATTTATTATGTAATGTTAAAGTTTAAAAGCAGGATACAAAAACTGCATATAGATTACAAACATAAATACAACCTTGTTAAAATACATAGGGAAAAAAACATCATAATGGAAAACATAAAAATTATAGTGTGGTGAGATTATGGGTAATTTCCTGACACTATTGCCCTAACTTCCTGTATTGTTACATTTTCTTTCTGTAAAAAGTTTAATTTTGCTGTAAATGAATTATAGGCTTATTGTTGAAAAAAATCTAACAATACAAACTTGTATGAAGTAGAAGTCTGTCCTGTTGTT